TGCATTCCTCCCATGTACGGTCAGAGCAGTGGCTCCACTGACCATTAAGCTAGGTTTGAGAATTGCCCCTTTCCAGGCAGTTTGAGCAATAGGAGCAGAGTTTACATCTGTTCACTCCTGGGATGAACAAGTAGCCCAGGTGACTCCCTGACCACATGAGTACTGTATCAATCAGGTTTCACAGCGATGCTTCAGTGCCTTTAGGCTGGCTGAGCCAGGGTTGTTCCAGACTTGCAGGTCCTGGACTATGAAACAGGGACGCTTGGGGCTCGCTCTTTGGTCAAGCCAGTCTTTTTTAGCTGGAGGCACAGGTCGAGTGGATTGTGGCTGGGGGTGAGAATAGCAGAGATTCACTTCATGTAGTAGATAGATTTCAAGCATGGAAGGAGAAGATACTTCCTCTGCAGGAAATACTTCTCATGTACATGCCAGCAATGGGACATCTCCACTTCTCCCCCCGCCGCCACACACTGGTCTGCTGCCGCTTGCCCTGTTGTGCGGCGTTGTTGGTTCTTTCACCAAGGTCAGTAAAAGTGGCGGTTGGCCTATTGCAGATGGCATGTGGGACAAAGAGGGGATGACGGTGCTCCGTGGCTCAGGCAGTCAGAGGTGGGCAGAATTCTCTGTTACATCAATGCTCTTTTTATTTAGGGAACCTGAATTGTGAGGAGGATGTGATGGGTTTGAGATTGTATAACCAGACTTCAATAAATGTCACGGTCCCAAGTGTAGTAGTGTGGGGTTGTTTTTGGGGGTTTTTTTTTTGATAGCTCAGAAGAATGAAGGTTGGGTCAGTGGAGCAAGACACCTCATGCTTGTGCTAGATTATTTGGATAAAAGTCACTTAGCACAGGCAAATAGGCCTTGCTCCTGATGACTTAAAGCTTGAAACATGATTCTTAGGCTGAATTCCTGCAACAAGGTAAGGCTTAGAGTATCTTGAGGTTATCGCAAGAGTTTTTAACTGCTTTCCCTGTGCAGTTCAGGCTGTTTACTACACATACCTACATTTTCCAGGGTGCTCTTTTGATGCAACACTGTGCTATTGGAAAGAAAACGGGGGTGTATTGTGCCAGATACAGCCTACAGTGAGCCACAAACCTGTCAGCAGCTGTCAGAAGGCATGGTACTATCCTGGCACACCATTGCCCCCATCCTGCAAATAGGGTGCTTGTACAGTCTGTTATCCCTCGGCAATGTAGTCCTAGGTGGCTGTCATCGCTACCTTGAGGATGTTGAACCCTCAGGAAAGCTTCTGTGAATGGTGGGCTCAATTTGTCATCGTACAGCCACTTGGAGTTGTTGCCCTTGTCTCTGGCGAAATGGAAAGGCTTGCCTGCTTTTTCTGCTGGGCAGGGTACACTCTTGCAGTGATGAGGTGCCTGAGCTTGCAAAATATTTTAAGCAGCTGAGCAGTCAGGTCTGTAACTCCCAAATAACTTCCAGACATCTTCCACCTCCAGTGCTCTTGTTCTTTATTCTTCTGGTTTACCGCTTCAGACACTTCTAAGGAAGCTTCCACTTTTCTCCCAAGGCTCCTTTTAAAGCCCCCTTAGCGTTTCCTGCATTTCTGTCCATTAGTTTCATGACCAGGTGTTGGGCTCAAAACAGTGTGTATGAAATCCCTTCTCAGCTTCTGTGGCTCTGCATTACCTCTGCCTCCAGTTCTGCATTTTTGGTGGAGTATGGAGTGTTTCCTGCTGCTTTTGCTGTTAGCCTCCCTGGAGGAGGTGTGTGAGGCTCTAATGGTGGCCCCTGGGTCTGATTAATCATCATTTCCTTTGCTTTTGGGTGTAATTCTTTTTACAAATGTTCCCTGGCTGTTAACTGCTCCTTTACCCTTGCTCTGCCTCACTTAATGCCTAAAGCTGCCATGAACTCATCAGACTTCAAAGCTGTTCTTGAACCTGTAGCTGTCTTGATGTGTGCTAGCTGAACCCCTTGTTTATACTGTGTTTATAGCTGCTCTTCAGCCTTGTAAACCATGTGGACCATCCAACCATCTGGCTCCAGATGGGAATGGTGACCCTAAAATCAGGATGTGGTTTTGTGTGGGCTGCACAGGGATACTGGGTGAGGAAACAGCCTTCTGCTTGCTGGATGGATGTTGCTCTGAGAGCTACGCAGCAGCGAGCGAGCGCTGCCTGGCATCCTCTGCCAAACTTCTCAGGTGCTGGGAGACTCCTTAATGTAAAAACAAAACAGAGTTGAGAATGTGTAGTCAAGGATTGGCCTGCCTGGCATTCCTGGCCAAGGGTGGACTGAATGAAGAGAGTCGAAGGCTGAACTCCCTTCCCTCACAGTGTTCGGGAGGTGTCAGCAGGGTGTGAGCACTTGCTCTCAGTGCTCTACTTGTCGGGGCAACAGAAAGAACTTTGGGCTTGGGTAATGTGAAGGCAGGCCGCCCTCGCTGCTCAAACAAACAAGGCATCCCCACCCTTTCTGGCATTTCTAACCTTACTCCTCTTAATAATCCAGTAACAAAAACTTGCTCGTGAAAGTGGAGCACAGCCTGGGGTGGCGAAACAAGAGAGAGGGTCAAGGCATGTGGCTTTGTACTGAGGGCAGAGAAAGGAGTTTTGTTGTGCACATTCTGATCTGCCCTCCCAGCAAGCCTGCGTAAACCACTTGATCAGCCAGGCATCCTGCAACTGTCACCTGCTGCTCTGCTGGCCTAAGAGGGGCTGGCTCGCAGCTGCAGGACAGAGCTATTGCAAAGGCTGCCTGCTCTTTGCAATTCTCATGCATACAAAGGTGTTGGAGATGCTCCAGAAACAGCAGATCTCTCCCCTTCGCCTCATCCTTAGAGAGAGCAAGAGAGGGGCTGTCTTGTGACCATACCTGCAGGAGCAACCACTGTCTGTGACATAGTACTCTGTGACCACCATGTGCCATGTCTTTTTGGGTAAGACACTTCAGCTCAAGGTAAGCTGTGATCGCAGGTGGGAGGCAGCCAGGTGATGCCACTTGAAGGGAGGTGGAGAAACTTCAGGTTTGTTTCTGTGAACAGAAAAGCCAGTGGGCGCGTGGTCTGGCTGTCATGCCTGGATTCCCACTGTCTGAAATGCATGGCACAAGTCTGACTGACTGAAGAATTTCCTGCATTGGGCAATTATACCAGTTCTCTGTTGTGTGGCTTTTCTGCTGCTTATTAGGGATTGCAGCCATGCTAAAAGTTTTGCTTGGGGGGGGGAATACTTTGTGTGGTCAATTTTTTCTTCATTTTTGCCACCTATTTGCACAAAACACTTTGAATTTAGTATATTCCATGACTTTTAATCCCCCTGTTGAAATTGGTTTTCTCTGGAGGAAGGACAGCATGATTGCATAAAGCCAGTGCTTCCCCAGCAAGGTTGGATGTGTTACTGGGCTGGAGAAAGCACTCGTTTCCTTAAGCAACCCAGCTAAAATGGCCCAAAAATTTACTTGGAGAAAGGCTCTGCCTGGATGTTGGCTAGCTGGAATTAAATGCCCTTCTGTCAGGCTCTCCCCAGAGCTGACTCACACCAGCATCACACAGGGTACTCCTGGATCTTTCCATTTTTCCAACAAATCGTTACATTTAACACCAGAGTCTTGGGGCCAGGGGTGCTTTGCGGATGAGTGACGGAGGCTGTAGCTTTGCTGCTAACCATGACAGACCGCGTTAGCCAGGAAGGACGCTTGCGAAGAGGTCACCTTTTTCAGAAGGCAAGATGAATGCAAACTGAGGAGCGGCAGAGGCCGGCAGCCAGGCTGCTCTCCCACCAGATGGCAGCAGCAATTCTGATCTCTGCACAGGAAAGGGTAGCGGGGACCAAAGGGTGTCCCTCAGCCTCCCGTGGGGACAGGTGAGCCGGGAGGTCACCCTGCCCTGGGCAGAGGACGCAAGGAGTAGATGTGGACAAGGGCAAACACAATAGCACAGTCTCCCGGTGAGGAAGAAAAAGCACAAGCTGGCAAGAGAGCTGTCTGACAGGCAGTACCACTCAGGCAGGCAGGTACAAGGGTTTAGTCCCTGTGCCAGGCTGTCCTGGTAAACCTCTCATGCCCACTTCACTCTGCTGAGCATCTCCAGCTCCAGGTTTTAACTCCTGTAGCCTAAGGTATAACACTGAAATGTGCAAATGCCTGTCTCCCTTTCTAACCCTGGTCCCGGGGTGGCTTGGCTTTGCAGCATGTCTCCTTGCCAGGGAGCATTCCTCCTTTCCCTTTCCCACCCACCCAAGGCCGTCCCTAGTTTGTTACTAATTCAGGGTGGGCAGGAACAACAGAAATGTCTAGGCATGACTTCAGAGGTGCAAGTTGCTTTAGCTTGACATTAGAAAACAGCACTGAGTCTTTGGGTTCAGAACGTTAGTATGATGAATTCATACTGGAGGGCCTAGTATTGGTAAAAGCTTAGCAGTCTTTTCATCAGAAGCCCTGTAGTTTTGTGGCCCCAGAGCAATTAGAGTAATGGCAGCACAGACTTGTCACTTGTATTTCTCTGAATACAGCCCAAAAACTAAACTACAGGGACCGAGTTTTGGGCAAAGGTCTGCTAGAATCAGGCAACATGAGACCTGCTGGGGTGACTAAAGGGGCCTTTATGAGGGGGACTGCAGCCCTCTGCTACCAGAACACACCTCCCTCTTGAGACCAAACAGCAGCAGCTGGTTGCCACCTTCACACATCAGAGCCTTACAAGCCAAGGTGAAATCTCCCTGCCCACTGCTCTGCCTTGCCTGCAAACCTCCAGAGAGGTTTGGGTTTGTTTTGTTTTTTCCTGGAAGACTCTGCCTTGTTTCTTGTTCCTTTCATGCTAGTGGAAGAGCTCAGCTCTGCACCACCCGCAGCAGCTGGGCCAGGCCGCTAGCAACATTCAGACCAGCCAAACAAGCTTTTGTTCATGATAAACAAACAGGAAACTGCCTGATTTCCTCTGTGTGTTCACCCTCTCTCTCTTGCGCGTGCTTTCTCCCTATTTAATAGATAACCAGCCTACCTGACTTGTGGAGACCGTAAGCAACCACATGGACAGGCACTCTGGAGCACTTGTAATTTGCAGTATGGCTGTTGCATTGAAATGGGCATCTGCTCCCTGATAGCTGCTGATGCGCCAGTGCTGAAGCCTCTCCAGGTAAGGCAGCTCCCCAAGTTTGTGATAATTTGTACCCTGCAGCAAGCTGGCAGCATGTCTGAAGTGGTTAGAGCAAGGGATAGGGAGGAGTTTCCTTATTACTTCCTTTGTGCTGTTTATATCCAAGTGGATCTAGCAGAAAATGCCTCTGTCCTGAAACACAGAGGATGTGGCGGGGTGTGCGGGGGGAGAAAGCACTTGTGGAAGGGGGTAGGAAATAATGTCCCAAGTCAGGACATTATTTGGAGCTTAGCTGGGCTGGGAGATTGCGAGCATTCTCAGGGACAAATCTGGTTTAATTATTCCTTGCCTGGCACTAGGCAACCCTGGGGGCTGAGATATTTCTCATATGCTTATTTTCCATCAGCAGAACTGAGCTGACTTCAGTCCAGCAAGTCCTGACTTACATTAGTGTAACTCTGAGGGGTAGGTCAGGTTTACTTAGGGGTGACTCGGTGCTTTGTGCTTTGGTTTTCTACTTGATGAAGCAGGACAGGACTCCCACAGGTAGAGAAGTATCAGGGTGAGTGACAGGGGACATAAAGTGTGCTCTAGCTGGGGGATGCAGAACAAACTTCCAGAGAAAGTAAAGCATCTGATGTCTTTGGAAAAAATATGGTGGATACTTCTTTTAACCACATGCTCATGCACAGCCATGCCTGGTTCACTCCCCCCCCCCCCCCCCCCCACGAAC